CATGAGGTACAAAGAGGTGACACCAGGTGAAATTTTTAAAAGATGGTTAGGTCTTGCGGGAAGGTTTGACCTAAAGGCAAATTGTGTTCTGTCTCTCATAGGCACCGATTGCCCCCGCCGCAGGGCCCTGAGACATGTCAGACTTTGCGAGCCCTGTCAGCAAGGAAGCCCGCACCAGACACATCCTCGAGCTTCGAGCTCCTACAGTCCAAATAAATTGAATAAGCATTAATTCTTTACAAATTACCCAGCCTGCAGTGTTTGACGACGGAAACAAAACCAAAACTGACGGCTGCCTCTGGGAGGGAAGTGACTTAGGAAGTAACACTGTCTTGGGAGAGATAACCGCTCCTGGGGGCAACCCCGTCATGACCACCAGTGGGCCAGGCTGCAGGCGCCAGGGGATGAGGATTTCAGCGTGAATGGGAGGGTGTGGGGCATGAGCTCATCCACGACGTGCACATGAATGATACTTTAAATGATCCCAGTAGGGTTATCTAAAATGTATTATCGAGTAAGAGTAACTGGGGTCTGAAAAGGCACCCCTGTTCTCAACATTAACAGGACAGGGATAGTGATAACACGAGCCTAAAAACTGCAATTGAACATTATCAATTTAAAAATATTACCTACCATAAAGTTCTGAAGCAAAAGTAGGAGTCTGACATTAACTAAGGCTTACTCCACTAACTATTTCCCTCCAGAATGTTTAGGTGAAAGCATATTCCCAATTATATCCATATTGACATGAATTTTCCTTTCTTTGGAGCAGAACAGAGCCTCATACAAGAAACTATGGAAACTCAGTTTTGATCTTGTCATCTTCTGTTATTGGCCATCCCCGTTCCCAAGATTTCTTCTTTCAATTTAAAAATATAATTCTGATTAGGAAAAGACACTTACCATAACCTACTAGTTATCCACGTAACCTTCCTTGTGCATGTCATACTTCACGATAAAATGCACTTCATTTGTTTTCTCCGGTCTCCTATTCACTCTGCTGAACCCAGCCTCTTTCGTCCGATCATACATTGTTTAAATGCCTGATACAGTAACATCCTACTTTTCCCTTCATTTCACCGCTGAATTCGGATTTAACCTGAGAAGTTCAAAACCCCTTCATTTCCACCCTTTGTGTTAAAAATCTTTCTAAATATAGAATTAGAATCTCTGTACTGAATAATCCTTCTCGTGTATTTGTGCTTTGTTTTTCAGATAATTAACTATTAACAGAGCTTGAAGAAAGCAAAGAAACTTAAAATGTTTTAAATCACTGCCAAGTACCAGTCAGTAATAAATCAAAAGAAACACTCTTTGAAGTTATAATGTTAGTCAGAGCAAAAACAGTAATTGTTTGTCTCCAGTTGTTCAGGTATTTATATTTAAAGTAAAACAGATTGTGCTGGATAAAATGGTCCACAGTGACTGAATCATAGGACTAACTGGCCCGTAGAATGGAAGCTGAAATGGTTTATAATTATCAAATTTAGCTATGCCTTATAGTAACCAGAAGTGACATTACAAGTTAAAGAATACAAAGTATGACAACCATTAGGTTACAATGCGTGCAATGTATGTACTAATGGTCAGTATTCACGTATAAGATTCCTCTTAACTTCTCAGGTTAAATATGAATTCAGAGATCAATTAAACCTCATGACTATAGCAGTTACCAAAATAGTGAAAAATTAAAAACACGGTATGACAGATAGGTGAGGGCTATGGAGAAATATCTACTCATTACTTCCCATCTAGCTATCAAACCCAAACTCCTTATATTTTCTCTTTTCTTATACTAAGAGTGCCAAAATACACACAGTGGAATATAACTCAGCCTTTAGAAAACAACATGGGTCAAACTGGAGGACATTATGCTAAATTAAATAAAAAGAAAAATACGGTGCTTCTTCCTTGCATGTGGAATCTAAAAGTAAAGAAAAACCCTCGATTTCACATGTTTTACAACGAAGTTGAAAAAGTTACTTGAATTATCTGGAAAATACTGTCTCTTTCAAGTTCTTCACACCGTATTACAGTTAAAGTGAGTTCTATAAGCAGAGTAGAAGCAGTATAGGTGTAGCTTCCAGTGCAGATGGCCTGTGGGTATTCTGCTAAGGGCCAAGATCACAGTTCCACTTTGCTTACAGAGAATGCACTTTCCAGAACATTCCCCAGGACATCACCAGGTAGCAGCCTCAGCACCCCAGGGCGCAGCGCTAAGGAGCAGCATGAACAGGGAGGAAACATGGCTGTGAGCAGTGCTGAGCATTTCACACGCGTGAAAGACCCTGCCCTTGAAGAAGTCTGTCAAGGGTTCGTGGCTTTTTGCATGCTCTTTGATTTGTACACATCTGAAATTCGTGCATGCTAACGTTCAGAGATGAATGCTTCTTCTCCAGGGTGAGATTCACTTGAAACTTAAATATCATTTTGCTATTTATGGATTACCAACCTTTCCGTTTCTTTTCTTTTTTCTCTTTTTTTTTTTTTGTCTTTTCTTCTGATACCAGGAATCGAACTCATGACCTTGCACTTGCCAAGCAGGCGCTTTGCCACTGAGCTAAATCCCCAGGCCCTAACCTTTCTGTTTCTGCAATCAAAACTACAAAATCTAATCTTGGAAGTATCTCATGTATTCTTACCTCATACTACACACACACACACACACACACACACAGAAAGAGAGATAGACAGACAGAGTAGAAGAAAAGGAAAAATAGTAATGGGAAGTCATTCATATGTTCATTGACTTAATATTGGGGACTATTTCTCAATGTATATGTATAACAAAATGTCAGTTTGTATAACATAAATTTTACAATTGGTATCTGTCTATTTTATCTCAAAAAAAGATGGAAAATGCCTCACTGATTGTTTCAATCAATCTTCTGGGCAAAGGTACTCCCTAAACTGAAGAAAACTTAAATTTAACAAGTATATTTTTATTACAAAAATATATATGACAGTTGATATATACACAGTAAACATTTTCTCATTTCTTCATCTTTATATTTGAAATCCAAAATGATCACATTCTTTTAAGATAAATTATCCATTTTAATGATGCAAATAGGGACTAGAAAAATGCTGAATGTTTAGAAGTTACCCTGCGCGTTGTACTGCCTTAGTAAGCATGGCTTGACCCACATTATATCGGTACTTGAAATATAATTTGACAGTCCTAGGGAATGAAAATTAATTCATTCATGTATATGAATTATGTCACGGCAAAGCACAACAGAGAGAGAGGGAAGGAGAGAGAAAGACAGAGAGAGAGACAGAGAGAGAGGGAGGGAGAGAGAAAGACAGAGAGAGGGACAGAGAGAGAGGGA